GGCACCTAGTGTTAATTGAAAATAGCGACCAAGCAGTGAAAAGAGGGAAAAGCGGTGGTACAGTTCTTCTAGCAGCACAGTTCAGTTTCCGAGAAAAGAAAGCACTAAAAAGAAGTGTGTGCAGCTAGAAGAAAAACAGCACACACACATTTTTTCTCACCGGATGGGCACAGGGGTACTAACAGCGTCAGCGGCAAGAGAAAAAAACGAGAGAGAGAGAGAGAGAGAGAGCAAATTGGCTCGGACAAGGCCGTTCCACCCTCCCCAACACTGATTCCATTAGCAGCCACAGAAGCAGAAGCAGAGGCAGCCATTTCATGTAAACATGTTTACCGCTTTCATTGAACGACAGCAATTCCAGGAACGGTGCTCTCATTTGGGCTCGAGTTTCGAAAACAACAACAACCGTATCGATCGAGTGGGGCAGGGAACTGCGTCACTATCATTCATTCATTCATTCACTTACCCACTCTCTCAGGGGCAGAATGTGCAGCGTCCTATTTAAATATTTAACTTGCNGCAGGGAACTGCGTCACTATCATTCATTCATTCATTCACTTACCCACTCTCTCAGGGGCAGAATGTGCAGCGTCCTATTTAAATATTTAACTTGCCGAAAACAAAAAACAGGCAAGAAAAAAGAATAGAAAAAAGAGAAAGAAAAGAAAGAGAAAAGAAACACTCTCTCTCTTTCCTTTTCTCTTTCTCCTTCAACCTAGTGACGTAATTGGTGGTCACAAGACAGTGGTCTAAAAGTGGTGGTTGTTGAGCTGGGCACAAAAGGATGAAATGGCACACTCTACACATGCAAATGGGAATTCTGGGCAACACAGAGCAAAAGGTTAAATTGAACTGAACAAACAAAAACACAAACATGTGAACAGCACACTTCTTCTCGTTTATAATCAAACAGCGACATTTGGCTGCGATGCTAGCTAAAGTGAGGGCACCAGCAAAAAATGTCACTGTAAAAAGTCAAAGAGCGATTGCTCTAAAGGATAATAGGTTCCNGAATTCTGGGCAACACAGAGCAAAAGGTTAAATTGAACTGAACAAACAAAGACACAAACATGTGAACAGCACACTTCTTCTCGTTTATAATAAAACGGCGACATTTGGCTGCGATGCTAGCTAAAGTGAGGGCACCAGCAAAAAATGTCACTGTAAAAAGCCAAAGAGCGATTGCTCTAAAGGATAATAGGTTCAACAAATAAACGTGCCCGTCGTGAGCGAGAAATGCAAGAGCGACCCTCAAGTTTTTAGCCAAAGAGCTCCTTCAATGAAGCCGTTGAAGAAATTTCCAAATAAATTTGAGCGGATTAAATTCTGCAGGGTTAATGGAAGTGCCAAGCGTTCAANGCTAGCTAAAGTGAGGGCACCAGCAAAAAATGTCACTGTAAAAAGCCAAAGAGCGATTGCTCTAAAGGATAATAGGTTCAAAAAATAAACGTGCCCGTCGTGAGGGAGAAATGCAAGAGCGACCCTCAAGTTTTCAGCCAAATAGCTTCTTCAATGAAGCCGTTGAAGAAATTTCCAAATCAATTGAGCGGATTAAATTCTGCAGGGCTAATGGAAGTGCCAAGCGTTCAGTTGTCACACAGCCTTCCACTCGTTCAAACCAGTCAGATCCATAAGCAGGACACTTGCAGTACAGCAGGCTGGGATTGTCAGCCGTCATGAAGCAATCCACCATCCACCTAAATCTAATCTCGGCTTTGACTAAAATCTTCTGAATCAAGGCAGTCGTAATGGAGGGTGGGCAACAAAGAGATGTCATGGGCAAAACAAGAGCAGCTTAAAAGTAGAGAAACCAATGCACTTACCAAAGAAAGAGTGTCCAGGCGATGGCTGGATTTGGTCAATGCTTCACCAATGTTTGCAGTTAAGGGCAATCAAAGCGTAGAAAAACAGGAAAATACTGGAGAAAGTTGAAAGGCAAAGTTGGTGGCGGCACAAAGTGCAAAGGAAGGAGGCTGCTGCTGGTGGTGATGAGGTGCTGTAGGTGCTCTTGGTGGCAGCGAGAGCTGGCACAGTGGCCAAGAGAACAACAGCAGCAGCAACAGCAGAAGATTAGATCTGCTGTGGACCAAGATTAGATGGCGACTATCATCCGCCTATTAGCTGGCTGCTTGTTGTTGTCGTCGTCGTGTTTGTCGTGTCTCCCTTTGTGAGCTATGTTGATCGACTGCTGATGCCGATGGTGCTGGTGCGGTAGTACACTTGCTGCTCCAGCAGTACTGAGGATAACAACGATGATGATGATGCTGTTGATGATCAGTGGCAACGTCAGGCGACGAAATCTGCTGCTGCTGCTGATGCTGGCGACAGGCACTTGTAGGAGAGACGGTGGTAATTTTGGTCGTTGTTGTTGGTGCTGGTGCTGGCGTCGATTCAATGTGGACGCCGTGGCGCAGTGGACGAGCTCTGTTCTTTCTCTGCAAAATAAAAGAGAGTACCTTTGTGGAGCAGTAGAGCACAGTAGAGACAGAGAGTGGTGTCTGGAGAACTGGAGGATGAATGGCTGGATACTACTACTCGGCGACTCGGCATGCAGCGTGGTCGTAATGGTGGTGGTGGTGGTGGTGGTGGTGGTCGGCGATCGTCGTCGATGCTCACTCTCGCTCTCGATCTCGGCAGAGGAGCAGCTCCAACACGCTCGAGGTCAGCTGCTGCTGTTGCTGTTGCTTCGGTGTTGACGGTGTGCTGCTGCTCTTGCCGCAGTTCAGTTGTTGCTGAGGGGATGATGGTGGTGGTACCACCGCCGCCGCTGTTGCTGTCTGCTCAGTTCGGCTTCGTCGGCTAGTGTTCGCAGCAGTCTTCAACTGCTTCGTTGTCAGCGCCAGACCAGGACCAGATCAGATCCTTTCCTTCCCTTGCTCAGTCAGTGCAGACACCACACTGAAGCTCGCTGTCACACTGAAGCTGCTTCTGCTGCTGCTGCTGGAGCACTCGTTTTCTGTCTGTCTGTATGTGTGTCCTCGAGGCTCCCTTTCTTTCTCTTTCTCCTTCTTTCTCCCTCAGTCAGTCACGTCTCCTCCGTCACTTGTTTACACTTTTACGCGAGGATCCTCTTCTCTTCTCTCTCTTGAGTGTTGTCGGAGAAAGTAGTAGTAGTAGTGGAAGTTGTGAGAGGATAGATCTGCTGCTGCTGCTGCTGCTGAGAAGAGGAGAGTGTCCAACAGTGAACTGGAGANTCAGTCACGTCTCCTCCGTCACTTGTTTACACTTTTACGCGAGGATCCTCTTCTCTTCTCTCTTTTGAGTGTTGTCGGAGAAAGTAGTAGTAGTGGTGGAAGTTGTGAGGGGATAGATCTGCTGTCGCTGCTGCTGCTGAGAAGAGGAGAGTGCCCAACAGTGAACTGAAGAAGGAGGAGGAGGATTCACTTTGGCTGCTGTACAGCAGTCGGCGACACGCATGGCACACACTCACACACCAGTTTTGTCGACTTCGTCGCCGATCGGTGGGCGCAGGCGGAGCCAGATGGCACCCAAAAGGGCTGCAGCCCCCTCCGATGAGCCGTCCACAGAATGGAAGGAGCGAAATTCCCTCTCCAGAAGAGAGAATCCCGGTAATAATTAGGAAGAAATAGCCAAAGATCTCTCTACTATTCATGTAATCTGGGATGATGCCTCATTTAAGAGAAAAAGAAAAATCTCTTTCTCTTCAGGCGCCGCCGCAGCTAATGAGGCGACAACTTTGGACGCCTGGCGCCGCTAACGAAGCAGAAGAAAAAGAAGAGCCTGGAGGCTAGCGCGGGAAATAAATGCCACTGCTGTTGTCAGAAACAAACATTTTACAGGGGGGAAAGATGTTGTTGTTATTGGTGGACACATCATGGCCACCACCACCCCATTGTAGTATAAAGCGTCTAATACAGTCCTGACATGATCAGCAACAATGGAATAGTATGGTAACAACAAGAGAGGAGAAAGACTTTCAAGAGTAAAGTGAAGAAGAAAAAAGGGAAAGGAGGTGAAAGAAGAAGGTCAGTTTGGTTGGTGATGAACATTTACAAAGTATAATAACATAAAAACAAAAGAAGATGGTGATTGAGTGGGAGTGAAATGTGAGGTAATGCAATGAATAGGATTAAGAAGAGGAGGATGATTCGCTTGAGAGAGAACGCAGAAGCGGAAAGGAGAGGATTGCTGTGGCGCAAGAAGAAAAAGGAGAGGATAGGTAGAATGAACAGAAAGACCAAAAACAGAAGGAAAACGGAGGGAGTTGGTCAGTGATTGTGATGGTAGTGTTTGTCTGTGTGTGTGTTTGTTATCTCCTCAGTGGTGGACAAAAAAGAGAAGAGTCGGCAGGAAGAGTAGTCGTACAAAATGGTGGAACAAAAACAGAATTTGGTGGTATTTTAAGCAAGGTTTCCCTCTTGGCAACGTGATGGGCGTTTTGTTTGTTTGTTTTTCGTTGCAGTAGTGGCCGTTGAGCAGGAGATACACATCATTACCGCTTAATTAGAGAAACTTCAGTTTCCAGCTTAACAACTGAAGAATGACAGTAAAGGGAGGGTGAAGGGGAAAAAGAAGCTGTATCACTTCGAAAGTTTTGGTAGAGGGAAAGCATGCAAGGAGTAAAGGAGAAGAAAGCAGGTATAAGTGAGGAGGGGGTAACAGATAAAAATAAAAACAACAAAAAAAGCCAAAAACGAGCAAACTCGTGTTGCCCTGTGATGCTTTCTGACCGGTTCCAGACCGACAGAAAAGTCAACAAAAAAGATAGGGTTAGAGGAGAATGAGAAAGAGGAAAGAGAGGAACAAGGGACATTGTGAAAACAGCTGCGAGTTTATCAACTACGATGATCTTTCCCTTTGGAGTGCCTGCTGTGCTGAGAACTTGTATGCCTGTGTGCTGTGAATGTGCGCAGAACTGATTAAGTTCGAAGAATATTTGGAAAGCTGAACAGTGTTGATGGGGCGTTCTATTTTGAAGACAGTCTCATCACTGCTCAGTGAAAGGTCGTCACGAGGTGCTTCATCTCCCGTTGACCTGCTTTCAGCTCGTACTCAAAGTCCACCCGCCCCAGGGTGTTGCCCCAGGTGAGGTGCTCCTCGTCCTCCAGCTTGTACAGCTTCACCTGCAGAGCCATGATCATATTCAGGTTACCCTGAAAGTGCAGGTCTAGGGTCAACTAAAAGAAAAGAAGGCAGATGAGTTAGCAAATGAAAAAAATGTAACAGAAGTAGCATTACCGGAGTTCGCTTTTTCCGTTTATCTGGCTCCAAATTGGTGGTGTCCCACTTAAAGGAGTAGGTACTACCGCAACCGCCACCACAACCGCCGCTGTTGTGCGCCTGGCTCTTCTTCGGATCAGACAGGTCGACGATGGTCACTGAGGTGCCGTTGACGGTGGCAGAACTGATTCGGGTGAAGAATAATTAGTGCTTAAGTCAGCCAATCTGTCTGCACTGCTAACGCCCTCTCACTCACTGTATGGACATTGGTGGTCGGACGTTCACCACAAACTCATAGTGCGTGTCGACGAGCAGTTTCAGTGTGTGCTCGCACTCGAAGCGAAGACCATCTCGCTTTAATAGGCAGTTGGAAATGAATAGGTTAGAAACCAAATTAGCAATATTAGAAAAGGAATAACCATTAAACGAGCAAGTGGGCAAACGAAAAAACTGACTGGCAAACAGAAAAGCAAGAAAAGAAAGAAGGAAAAATGTGCAGAACAAAAAAGATGCAGCAAAATGTTTTGCCCAGAAGCGAACCCACAGGGGAGCACTTTCAGTCATTCTTACCTTGAAGCACACCTTCGGTGCACCTTCATCCAGTGTACCGTCCTTCTTCAGACGGTGAATCTCAACGCTGGCCGCATAGCTTTGAGCCATCTTGGTCGATAGTAAAAAACCTTTAGTTTTATGCACTTTGAGAACAAGGGTAATTTTAACTGTTTGCAGGCGTGAGCAATAATTAAGAATATCAGAAGAATTTATGATGAAATGGTGAGGGAGGTGGTAAAGGTGTTTGAATTGCAGTGATAAAATTCAAGAAAAAAATGGTGGTAGTGATGATGATGGCAATGATGAGCAGTAGATAATGGTGACGATAATGATCACGAGGATGCGCGTTATATTATTCTGCCTGTGCGGAAGCAGCATCAGCAGTTGTCAAGAGAAAGTTGTGAGCAGAAACACGGACAGGGGATGTGTGTGTGTGTGTGTTGTTAGTGTGCGTGTGTTTTACAGTGCCCGATGATGGATTCGTCGCCAACTGAATGAGAGAGAAAGAGAGAAAGCGAAAGATCCGTTCTCAGTTCAAGTGAGGTGCGGCACACACTCACTCATTCACTCACACTACAAGACAGTGTGCGGGTGCGAGTGCAAGTGTGTGTGAGTGAGTGTGTCGGGCGACGTTGGTAGTAGCGGCGGTCCGCTCCAGCACCACCAGCACCCGAAACACTGAACTCTACAGACAAAGAGTGCTCCGGTTGCTGCTGCTGCTGCTGCTTGTGTTTCAGCTGTCCGAGACAGTGCTGTAATGTGCTGCTGTAGTGTGCTGAAAAGGAAGGGCTGTAGCAGCAGCAGCAGCGAATTCACCAGGGACTTCTTTCTTCTCTTTCACCGCTGAAAAGTCTTCCCTTCTCTTTCGCCTCCGTAAGCCGGTAATTGACTCCTCCAGTGCTCAATTGCAATTCCTTTAGTGTGTGTGTGCTTCGCTGGCTGGCAGGCTGGCAAAGTGGCTGGATCGTGTGTGTGCCGAGTGAGTAAGTGGGCAGGTGAGATGGGGGTATCAAATTAGATGGCTTTTAAGTGAAGTGAAGTGTTCGCGCTGCCTCAAATTGAGTAGGGCAAGTCGGTAGGTGAAATAGAGAAGTGAAATGAGTGAACAGGCCTTTTCCAATTTCCTCCCCGTGGCAGTCGTGAGGTACGGGAAATGCCTTGGTCGGCAGGTGTGGTGGTAGTGATGCTGCTGCTGCTGGTGATGCTTTTGCAGTTCTTTATCAGTGGCGTCTGCATCGATCTCCTCCTCTTTCTCCTCCACGACATTGTTTTTCTGACAAATAGGGTGCACAAGCCAAGGTCCACCGCTGGCACACAGTAGTCCATTGTAATCAGCAGTAGTCGACTGGTGATCATTGACAATTCGATCGATTCAGCCATTCAGTGAAACGGTAGCGGGCTAATCAATTCTCGACCACCACCACCGTCGCCGATGCAGTGTGCACCCCGACTGTGTTTTGTACCAAACCGAAGCTGTGCAGTGTCTGCTGCTGCTGATGATGATCAATCGATTAAATGGAGACACACCACAGATGCCGAAACAGAGTGCTGAGACCACTGCGGCTGCAGTGAGGACGGTATACCAGTGCACTGATTGAACTGATCATCAGCCTAAAAAGCAACACACATCAGATGCCTTTTCTTTTTTTACAACACCACAGCTCCCAAATGTACTGTGGACATGCTTTGGATGGTAGGCACAGAGGCGCCAGCAGACTGTCAGAAGTTGTTACGATGTTGTGTCTACCATAGTTTATGATGAGCGAAGGTAAGCGCTGTCATCCACTTATCCACACACAGAAATATGCGTCAAATATATTTGAAAACTCTTAAAAAAGTCAAATATGTTTGACTTTGTTCAAATATATTTGACTTTTTTGCAACAAAATTAAAATGTCAAACATGTTTGACAATTTGGTCAAATATATTTGATCAAAAGTCAAATTAGTTTGACTTTTAAAATTAAGATTTTTAAAGTCAAATATACTTGACCAAGTCAAATATATTTGACTCATTTTTGAACTTTGAAATTTTGGTTTTCGGAAAGTCAAAAATATTTGACTTAATCAACAGCGGTCAAATATATTTGACTTTTTGGTCAAATATATTCAACTTGTGTTGGGACTTAGAAAATTTTGGTTTTTAAGTCTAAAAAGTCAAATATTTTTGACTCTACTTTATAGAGTCAAGTATATTTGACTTTGAGCTAAAGTAAAACACAAAATTGAAAATTTTGCAAAGTTTTGGCATTTGACCAAATTCAGGAATAGATTTTAAGTTCCTCAATTATCAGTGATGATGAAATAAGTCAAAAATGGCTCAAATAACACATAAAAAATTATTTTTTAAAAATATTTTTTGAGCATGCTTAAAGAGGTTTTTGTCGAAAAGTTTTTTGAAACTAGGCGCAGTAGCGTAACTTGCAGCAGCATTGCGTTTAAGCAGTTAGGTCACCAGTTCGAGTCCCAGAGCAAAAGTTGCAAAGGCGTTTCTTTCAGAGTTAGAAAGGTGTAGGAGTGAGAGTAGAGTGTAGGATNAGTGTCTGCTGCTGCTGATGATGATCAATCGATTAAATGGAGACACACCACAGATGCCGAAACAGAGTGCTGAGACCACTGCGGCTGCAGTGAGGACGGTATACCAGTGCACTGATTGAACTGATCATCAGCCTAAAAAGCAACACACATCAGATGCCTTTTCTTTTATTTTACAACACCACAGCTCCCAAATGTACTGTGGACATGCTTTGGATGGTAGGCACAGAGGCGCCAGCAGACTGTCAGAAGTTGTTACGATGTTGTGTCTACCATAGTTTATGATGAGCGAAGGTAAGCGCTGTCATCCACTTATCAACATCAACATCCTCGTCAGTCACTCACTCTCTTTGGAAAGATTTCCCCGTAAAGCCTCCTCTATGTCTGTCTGTGTATCCAAGGTGAACACGGATGAGCTTTTTAGCTGTATAGTTTTTATTACTTCAGTAGTGGTGGGTGTGATATACAAAAGGATAAACGAAAAATAATCATAATAATTCACCTGTATAGGAGAGGAGAACAAGCGCGCGCGAACGAAGGAGGGAGGGAGAAAGGGAGGGATAGGGCGAAAAATAGGAAGGAGGTGGTGGTTGACGAGGATAATGAAGGAAAATAATGTGTTGTGTATAAGTGGTGGTGTTGGTGGTGGAAAGGTGTCGCTGCACAATTCAGCAGTCAGTGTGGAAATACTACATACGAGCTTGCTAACTTACTAATTCTTCCTAATATCTGAAACACTAAATCCTATCTGACAGCTACTGTGCCCAAGGCAGCACAACGGACGACTGACACTGCCACACACTAACCGATTACGATTGCTCAGTGCCCTCCTCCTCATCGGCGGGTGACTTGGAACGGGAGTGCGACTTGGAGGGCGAGCGAGACTTGGAGCGGGAACGAGACTTGGAGCGCTCAGACTCCGACTCGGACTTGGCGGAACGAGAGCGAGAGCGACGATCACGATCGCCGCTGCCCCCGCCGTTTCCGGCACCGCCGCTGCGCTCCGCCGACCCTGAACGTGAGCGCGAACGAGAACGTGAACGGCGTTCAGCCTTCACTGCGCTGCTGCTGCCGCCGCCCTTGCCGCTGGAGTGCTCGGCCGAGGCTGAGCGGGAGCGATCGCGATCGCCATTTCCGGCGCCCGTGGCCGGCGAGCGAGAGCGCGAACGACTAGCAGGGCTACGACTGCGCGAGCGGGACTTGCTGGCGGCTCGGCGGTTCGATCGGCTGCGACTACGCGATCGGGACTTGGTGGCCGCACGGCGGTTCGAGCGACTGCGACTTCGGCTGCGCGAACGACGACGACGTGACTTGTCCTCCTGCAGGCGGATGCGACGGCCATGCAGATCGTGGCCGTCCAGCTTCTCCACGGCGGCCTTCATGTCAGAGTAGGAGGCAAAGTCGACGATGCTGGAAAGGAGAGGCAAAACACAAGTTAGTAAAGCAGATGCAAATCTTATCACTACAAAAAAACTCGTGCTGCAATAACATCAGAACGCTTTTCTCTCATCAAAGTGCATATTATGCCCCGAAAGATGGTAAGTAGTAAACAATTTCATCACTAGAAAAGGTGGTAACCAAACAAAGCACGCTGCTAGACAACAATTGACAAATCACTTACCCCATATTCTTTTCGCGCTTGTGCGCGTCAGCGTAGGTCACCTCTCCCGCCTGACGCATAAAATCCTTCAGATCCTGTGGTTGAGGAGGGAGAGAGAAAAAGAATAAAGTTAATTGACATTCAGGAAAATGAACAACAGCACAAAACCGATCCAAAATCACTCAGCAAAAACACTCGGTTGAGCAGGAAAATGGAAAGTAGTAGAAAGATAAAAGGGGTGATCAGACAGCAAGCAAGTGTCATGGTGTGGGTGTGAGTGGTAAGTTGAATTGCATTTAGCGGCTTAAGAAGGCTTACACTGCTCTTTTTTCTCCTTCCCGGTGGAAAAACAAACAAACAAAACAACTTAAGAGAAAGTCTAAAGTATAAAAGAGTAGTAGTAAGGCAGTAGAAAAGTAAAGAGGTAGGCATTGCATGACAAACATAACTCAGTAAGTGTCTTTCAGGGTAGCGGTGGTGAATAGTAAAAATATTATAAAAAAGTAAAAAGAGATAGATGGAGCTTTACCTGCGATTGGCGCACCTCGGGGCAAACGAGTCAGAGCAGAGCCGCTGGCCACACCGAGTGAACCATCAGAGAAACATCGTGTCGTCGCGCGAACCACAGTCTCGAATAGGTCTCCAAAACCACCAGTGGACCACCAGTCACATCACCACCGACCAACCAATGGTGAGTGTGGGAATGAGCGAATGGACTGGATGCAGCAGACACACAACGCTCAACCCAACAATCTCCACCTCCCTCGCGTGTCTCCTAGGTGTCCTGGGTTTTTGTCCTCATCCTCATCCTCACTTGGGCGACGCAGCGGCGGCGGCGGCAGCAGTAGTAGTAGTGTTAACTTGCGCGCAGACAGCAACAGCAACAGGTGTGTTTGGGAGAGTGTGTGCACTCCAGAGACACAGAGGCAGAGACGGGCGGCAGGTGAGTCAATCCAGCCATCCACCATCATGAAAGAGGGAGTAATGTGAGCAGTAGGTGAACACGAGCGCGAGCGAGTTGCAGTCGTCCTCGCCAGAGTGGCAGTGTGCGGGCACCACCACCACCATCACCACGACCAGTCAGCCAGGAGGCAGGCAGGCGGCAGTCGAATAGGGAATAGACCAGAGAGAGATGAGACCCACCACAGTGAGTGCACCGCACCTTCTCTTCGGCGCCCATCTTCTGAGCAGTTGTGTCGTCAGTGGGACACGTCGACACAACCAACGGCTCTCCACTGTCTGTCTGTGTGTGTTCTGAATGCTGAGCTCTACACCAGGCTCTGAGCGCGCTCACTGTAGCACCAACCACAAAGAGAGCTGGAGCAGCAGCATCAACGTCATCAAGCGTCACACTGCAGCTGAAGAGAGTGTGTTCCCATGAGCAGGGGTGTGATCACGTTCACCGTAGGGAGTGGTCCTCAAAGGATGGTCACCAGTCAGTCTCAGCCAGGTTTGTTTGCGGACATTGTTTGGGGCGTTCAAGAAATAAAGAGAGAGAGAGAGAGAGAAGAGAGAAAAAGAGGAAAGGATGCGCGTTTGCCACCAAAGTATCCTCGGCGACACACCACCATCACCAGCAATAGCCACGCTGCCGCCTCCGCACGAAGAGCAATATCGCCACCAAAGAAAACGAAGACAAAAAACAGAGAAAAGAGTAAAGTAACATACCTGCCAAGAGACTCGGCTGCTGAGATTCTCCACGATGACGCGATATTCAGTGTTGCGCGGTGGTCCATATCTGCTTTGAGATGAAAGGAAAAGAAGAAAGAAGACGGTTGAAGTATCATCGGGAGCAATGGGGTCACAAAAGATCAGGCGCCGTCGTAAGGTTAACATAAAAGTGGTAAAAACATCATTCATTAGCAAAAGAAAACAAGGTCAAAGTTCCCACTGACTAAGCTAGTTTGGCTGAAAAGGAGGGTTTGGGTGAGGTTGGGAAGTGATGTTGGGAAGGGGAAAGGTCGTGCACGAACATTGGGGAAGATCGCCTCTCAAAGTCGTCATGGAAGTGCAGATAGTCTCAGAGTGCTTTTCTCTCATCAAAGCATTTTATGCCCCGAAAGATGGTTAGATGAATGCAAGGATCATCATTACGACTACAGGCCTATTTCTATGACGACGTGTGCTTATCGAGGTCGATCGGAAAGGACGGAGGAATGGGTAACAGTTATGGATAGGGGATGGGCATTTGGCAAAGTCATTTGCCAGAGCAAATGGAAAATGCACATGTACAGGACAAAGGAGAGGAGGGGCAATGGCGCAACACCAAGACAGGGGAAGTAGAAGGGAAGGGAAACATACTTGTCAGCGAAACTAAGACCACTTCGAGAGCCACCATACCTGCTGCTGAAACTACCTCCTCCTCCTCCGCCGCCGAAGCGGCCCCCACCTCGACCGCGGCCTGGCCCGCGAGCAAACTCAACATGAACTCTGCAGTGGGAAAGAGAAAGGCCATAAGTTGACGTGTACCTAAAATAGAAACGAGCTCCTACCGTTCACCAAGCAGATCTTTGCCGTTCAGCTCGTAGACGGCATCTTCAGCGTCTCGATTATCGTCAAATTCCTAGAAAATAAAATGGTGTTTAGAATGAACGCTTCCAAATGGGGTATTCGGTACTTACCACAAACGCAAACCCATCCTTGAGCAGTATCTCGCGAATGCGGCCATAACCTTTGAAAAACTTTTCTATATCTCGCTCGCGAACGTCGTAGCTTATGCGGCCCACGTAGATGCGCGTACCGCTGGTCATCTTGCGAATCTTGACGGCTTTTTGTTTGTTTTTCTAAGGTGAATGAGGAACACAGTTCAGATAGAGGCAGGGATTGATGAATAAAGTGGATCGGAGACGAGGAAGAAACTGGGCTAAAAAGATGGAAGCGAAGAAACAAGTGCAGTGACACACACAGCACTGCTGGCGAGAAAATGCTGGCGTGACGCGTTGGAGGAGCGAGGCGAAAGTAAGTGGCAGCGGCGGCGCTCTCTCAGGTGTACAGCATTGCCACTCAGCGGGGGCAGTAGTGGCACAGTGCACAGTAGCGCCGATAACGCTGTGGTCGGTTTCCCTTCACAGAGGAGGTGCTCACGGATTCTCATTCCTGTTGAGATTTTGGACCGTACAAGTGTCTTTCTGCCAGTTAAATGCTCTTCTGAACGTAAGAGTTAAAGAATTTATTTTAGTTTGTGGTAGAAACCTTAAACTTCTTTCTGCAAAGACTCGGGTGAGCAGTTGGGCCTCTTTTGCCTCTACCACTACCACCACCAGTGAGCCCCCCGGAACGTCTAGTGTGGAGAGGGCGCCCTGGGCTTTCTATTTATTGTCTGATCATCGGGAATTGTAGGTGTCAAATTACCCGAGTATTCTCGAAGTCTGCAACTGCTGCAGTAGTAGGATTGAGGTCAACTCGTCAACAGAGGTGTTCAGCTGCAGGTGTAAGTTAATTTTGCTATTCACCCTTACACAACCAGTACTAATCCCGTTCATGGCCACGGCCACTTTTGCAGTCTTATCAACTGAATCAAATCATGAGCAAGTCCCGAGTGACGTACTTTTACGATCCGGAGGTGGGCAACTTCCACTACGGGATGAACCACCCAATGAAGCCTCAGCGAATCGCCGTGACGCACTGCCTGGTGCTGAACTACGGCCTGCACAAATACATGAATGTCTACCGGCCGTACCAGGCGAACTTCAACGACATGTGCCGCTTTCACTCTGAGGAGTACGTCGACTTTCTCTTCCACGTGACGCCCTCCAACCAGAACAAGTTCGCTAAGGTGATCAGCCAGTTCAACGTCGGCGACGACTGTCCGGTTTTTGAGGGCCTCTATGAGTTCTGCAGCCGCTACGCGGGCGCCAGCCTGCAGGGAGCAGTGCAGCTCAACGACAAGGTCGCCGACATTGCCATCAACTGGGCGGGCGGGCTGCACCACGCGAAGAAGTTTGAGGCCAGTGGTTTCTGCTACGTTAACGACATTGTCCTGGGCATTCTCGAGCTGCTAAAGTACCACCCGCGAGTCCTCTACATCGACATTGACATTCACCATGGCGATGGTGTTCAGGTGCGCTCATAGCTTTTATTGATGATTCTGATTACTAAATCACCCCTCTTTAATTTGTTCAGGAGGCCTTCTACCTGACGGACCGCGTGATGACGGTGTCCTTCCACAAGTACGGCAACTACTTCTTCCCCGGTACCGGTGATATGTACGAGATTGGCAGCGAAAGCGGGCGGCACTTTGCAGTGAACGTGCCGCTGAAGGACGGCATCGACGACGCCAACTACGCCTTCGTCTTCAAGCCCATCATCGCAGACATTGTGCAACACTACCAGCCGACGGCCATTGTGCTGCAGTGCGGCGCCGACTCGCTCTCCGCCGACCGCCTCGGCTGCTTCAACCTCAGCTTCGACGGCCACGGCGAATGCGTCAAGTACGTGAAGGAACTGGGCCTGCCACTGCTGGTGCTCGGCGGCGGCGGCTACACACTGCGCAACGTCGCCCGCTGTTGGACCTACGAGACCTCCCTCCTCGTCCAGCAGGAGATCAGCAACGAGCTGCCGATGATGGAGTACATCGAGTACTTCGGCCCGGACTTTACGCTGCTCTCCGACAAGCCAGGCAACGACTCGCCGCACAACGCCAACTCGAAGACCTACCTGGAGAACATCATCAAGTACACGCAAGAGAACCTGCGCAATCTGGAGGGGGCGCCCTCCGTGCAGATGCACCACGTGCCCGGGCCGTGGATCGGCGAGGGCGACCCCTCGATGAAGGCGATCAGCAAGGAGGAGGCGCTCAATGAGTTCTTTGACCGCGACCAAGGCGAGGCGGCAAGGGCGGCGGAGGACGGAGGCGCCGACGAATAAAAGGACCAAAACTGGGTATAGGCAAAACTCGCTCTGTCTTCTATAAACTTCCGTTATCGTCCCATTCCACCACCACCACCACCTCCCCACCACCACTCAACTCCCATCACTCACTGTACATTTTCCTTTCCACCTCCTCTCTCGACTTTCTGTAACTGTTTCCTGCATCTCCGTTTCCTACTGTGGTATCTGCACCGTTTTTCGGAACGCCTGCAGTGTATAAATCTCTTTTTCTATTATATTTGTACATAAGAGAATTAAAACAATTATTTGGTTCACATCACATTCACCTTTAGATTCGCTGCTCAAAGTACTTGCGCTCCTTTCCGGCGTTCTTCTTGCGTTTCCGCTCAATGTACTTGTCCAGCCGCCCTCGCTTCTTCAGGTCCTTGAACTTGGCCACCAGCTGGGCTCGCTTGACGACAGCTGTGGGAAATGGGGTAATCAAACATTAACTACTGTTCATGTACTTTAAAATCTGTTTACCTTTGTTGACGAATACTTTTGGCTTTTGTGGGGCTTTTGGTTTTTGTGGAGAAAGTTTCGAATCAGCAGATGAAGACGGTGGAGGAGGAGGTGGAAAAGGAGAATGAGGTGCACTGTGAAAAGGCGCCAGGTCTTTGGCAATCACCGTCTTGACGCTCTTCTCCACCTCTCTCGCCTTGTCCTTCTGCGTTTCCGCCCTCAGTTGCGCCCGAAGGATGTTCATCGACCTGGTCAGCTTGGCCTTCTCTTCGGGCGACTTTGTGCGCTTCAGCCTTTTCTGTAGCACCTCCAGTTCGCGCTTCTTCATCGAGCTCAAAAAGCGGTAGTTGTCCTCAAACTTGTCCGCCTGAAAGGTGCCCGAGGTGGACTCGAAGCGAGGATCACGAAAAGTCTTTGCTTTGGTAGCGAGGGATGGAACTGGCAGAATGGCAAAGTTGTGCTTCGTTTCAAGCCGCTTTGAGTTGGCCACAATGGGCTGGCTTTTCGGTTTCGGTGCCGATATCGATTTGGCTGATTTGGGCTTTGATGCTTGTCTGCTTGCTTGTTTGTCCTTGTTGTTTGAAGTTGGTTGTTCACCACCAGCTGCACCACTACCGCTCAACTTCTTCAGCACACTGTCCCGGTACACTTTGGTGCCTAGTTTATCGCGCATCGCCAAAAGATCTTCAAATGTCGTCTGTGCGAGGTCTGCAACAAGTCAACAAATTACCATCTTTTGAATACATAAAACCATCCTGCTTAACTTACCATTTCTAATTGATTCATCATCGTCAGACTGCTCTTCAGCTTCCTCTTCCACTTCGTCCTCCCCCATTTCAACTTCATCTTCTTCCCCAGAAAAGGCGTACTCTTCAGAGTCACTCATATTGAAAAAAATGCTAAAATCAAAAACTGAACCAAAAAATCCAAAACAAAAACACGTTTTTCACTGTGCGGCCCATACGCAGAAGACATAAGGTGGTCAGCTTTATCGAATTATTATCTCGCATTAGCCGCATCTCGGCTGAAGATGATCAGCTTCAGTTGTGGTGATAAGAACGTAGAGCACTCTTCTGAATGCAGCTATCTTCCGTTTCATCACTATCGCCAGAGAGATAGCATTCTTTTAGTGAAAGGGCACGGCTGCACCTTCCAACAGCCTGACTATGGTCAGCAGCGCCCCCAATTCGAACTTTCCTATTCGAAATCAGTTCCATCCTCTGGCCCCCTATCGCCTGTAGCGGATGCATCCACCACCTAGCCGGGGTATATAAGGATCTCGCCACGCGCTACTCATTGGAAGCACAGTTCACTACACCGTTCTGCACCCGATGCACCAGAGTTCTATTTCCCTGCGAGCACAGTGTGCGAAAGTGTGTGCGTTCTGTTAGTGCCTGGACCGGCGAACACACCGGGCCCCTGGACTTGACACCCCAGCCGCCCTGCCGTCCACCCACATACCACATGTGTTATCCGCCCTCCGTGGCGACGAACATACCACTCTCTCTCCCCTCTCACCACACCACCACCACCGATCGTTGCTGTTCGTGGCGGCCTGTGCTGCTGGTGGCTGGCTGGTCGCAGTGCTGTGAAGCCTTCACCGCCATCACCGCCACACCCACCACGCTCACAGTGTCGTCCTCTCGAACGCACACGCACAGATGACATGCGATCAGTGCGGCACCCATTTGTGTTGTTGTGCCTTGCTCAGCTGGGCCCAGCTGTTCAGCAGCACACACAGTGCCTGCATCTGCATCTGCGAGCGAGCCACCACTCCTGTGGTGGTGCCTCTGCTCTCTATCCTGCTATCCATAGCGATAGATTACCATTCAGATCACCGTTTCACACTGTTACCCACTTGCTCCCGTAGCCGGACACACACCACCACCACCAGTGTGTGTGTGTGTGTGCCTGTCGCTCGGTCTGAGCTCACAGGCCCCCGACAGACGGCAGTGGTGGACGGCGCCGCCCCGCGCAGTGCCCTCCACCGCCGCCCCTGTTCGGGTGGCCAACAGCCTCATCCACAATTCGCGTCTCTGCCTGCTGCCAGCTGGCCAGCACCACCGATGCCTTCTCCTGTGCGTGCGTGCGTGCGTGGTGTGCGTTTGAGCGTTGGCCTGTCTGCTGTGTCGGTTGGCTGGCTGCTTTGGATGGCTGGTTGGATCGCTGGTTGGCGGCCTCTGCGGGAACCCCTCTCTCACAATGCCCCTGCCACTGGCCGACCACGACCACGACCATCACCATTCCCATCACCACTACCACTCAGCACCGCCAACTTCATACCAGTGTGCCAGTGTTGTTGTGTGTGCCTCTGTCGTATGTGTGCTCACTGTGACTGCTGAAGTGTTTCCCTTCGGCGGCGGCTGCTGCTGCCCCGCTGGAGGACGGCACTCAGTCTAAGTCTCTCTGCAGTTTCTCATCCAGCTCACTCAGGTCTCTCTGTCTCACTCTGACTCTCTCTACTCTCTCCCTTCCGAGCCATCGATCAGCTCACCTCAGCTGCTCTGCATCCCCTCACTGCACCTCCACAGTGTGGTGGTGGTGGCTGCAGGCAGTGTGAAGCTGCACTCGGAACACACTGCTTCCAGTCAGGCGCCTAACCTAGTTGTTGGTTGGCGCCATCATTTTTACTGTTATTATTTGATGGTGATCTGCTGACTACTTGCCGATTACAAAGAAGTATATCTAATAGTAGTAGCAGAGGATCACTGATGGACTGGATCACTGATCGTCCCTTTACACAATCTTTAAGTGTTGTACAATCAGCTCAAAACAGAGTTAGTACTTTAAGGTAATCAGGCACTTGAGTGAGCCTCAATTAGCTCTCACTTTCTCTAACATACCTCCCACATTACCTGTACCTTCACTTGGGTGGCACTCCAGCGCTGAAAAATCGCCACCAGTGTGTGTGGTAACATTGGATAATGTTTAGCAAGATGTCAGAGTCCAACAGCATCAACAGGTGGTGGCTGAGTTGGTGGTGGTATATAAAGACCGACTGGTGCCAGGTGAAAGGCATCACAAGCCATCTTCGCTAATAACTGCAAACCAAAGCCAAAGCTAACCCCAACAGCAAACCAAATCACCATGCGCACCTTCCTCGTCCTCCTCTTTACCCTGATGGCCGTCACCGCGACAATGGCCGTCGTCTGCGAGCCGAACATCTGCTCCCGCGTCCGATGCGCCCAGATGAAGGCAGAGGAGTGCGCCGCCAAGGGCACCGGCTATCAACTGGTTGAGCACGCCGGTTTCTGCGGATGCTGCAGTATGGTAAGTTGTCTGCTCTAAACTTTAAAATCGTTTAAAACTAACCTTTCTCGTTACCAAACTCCAGTGCGTCAAGCTGGCCAAGGAGGGCGAGCACTGCCAGCACCTGCTGGGCGTTCCCCATCACACTCTCTGCGTGGAGGGTCTGCACTGCGACGCCGCCAAGCACGTCTGCACCAAGAACCAGTAAAGAAATGCACCTAATCTAATGTTCAAACAAACACACCAAATGATACAGCAATAAAATCAGAGTGATATCAATCATTTTTTTGCAATTTGTATTTTCAGAGAGAAAAGGTAAAAAAAGGGGTGGCACATCTGTTCATTTGTTTGGCACAGTTCACTTCACTTTTGGCTAGACCTAGCCAGCCGTTCATAATGTCGCTCAAAGGCGACCTTCAGCACGTCAACGGTGAAGGTGACGTCCGCCTCGGTGATGCACATCGGCGGTTTGATGCGAAAGACATTTCCGCTGGGACCGCCCTTGCCGATGATCAGTCCCATGGAGCGGCAGTCCTCGAAGATGCCGTTCACTTGCTCGACGGGCATCGGCACTGCCGTCCGGTGATTCCGCTCCTTGCTGACCATCAACTCCAGACCAATCATCAGTCCCTTTCCGCGAACGTCGCCGACAATGTCAGAGAAACGACCGTCTCGCAGTTCAGCGAGCTTCCGCAGCAACAGCGTTCCCACTCGCAACGAGTTCTCCTGCAGCTTCTCCGCCTCGATGATATCGAGCACGGCGGAGCCCACCGCCGAGGAGAGCGGATTGCCGCCAAAGGTGTTGAAGTGCATCGCCCGCGTCAGCGAGCTCGCCACCGACTGTGTGGTGATGACGGCGGCCAGCGGAAAGCCATTGCCGATGCCCTTTGCCATGGTCACAATGTCTGGGACGATGCCGTGGCCCTGAAAACCCCAGAAGTGCTCCCCGGTCCTCCCGAAACCGGTTTGTACCTCGTCGCTGATGAAGAGACCGCCACGGGCCTTCACCAGCTCGTAGGCGCGCTGCAGGAAGCCCTTTGGGTACTGGACGGTGCCGCCGACGCCTGAAAATGAGAGATTATTAAACCGTTGTCAAAATTAATTTTATCTTGAAAAGCACCTACCCTGAATACTCTCCGCAAAGAAGCCGGCAATTCGCTTGGGCAGCGTCGAGCTGAGCACCTCCTCCAGCTCCTCTGCGTAGTACTCTGCCGCCGCACAACCACCTCCTTCCTTACAATCACAACTTCGGTTCGTCTGTACGGGTGAGTCTCGACAAAACCGCCCACCGACCCGTCCTCGATAGGGATCAGGACAGGCAGTATGAGTGAAGCCAAAGTTGAGCGGCACGGGAAACTTCCAGACGCCCACTCCACAAAGCGGCATCGTCGAGGTGCTGCATCCGTGGTAGGCGTTACGCAGGGCCACCACGTCAAAGGCGCCCGTGAAGGAGCGGGCCATCAACAGGGCAATGTCATTCGCCTCCGAGCCGGAGTTGCAGAAAATGACATTGTTCAGCGGCTCGGGAAAGTGGTTCGCCAACTTGGCAGCGTATTCGTGCACCTCCTCGTTCAGATAGACAGATGAAACGTGCCACAGCTTCCGCGACTGGCGGCTGATCGTCTCCAGCAGAGTTGGGTGCGAGTGGCCGACGGAAGTGGTGACAATGCCACCGAACATGTCTGGAATTGGGGGAAGTGTTGAGTTAGTTTTTCCAAAATGAAAGGGGACTATTCAGTTAAGCCTTACCCAAATACCGCCGCTTCTTGTTGTCCCAGACATACTGCCGGTGGCCCTGGGTGATCAGCAGCGGCTCGCTGTAGTACGGCTTCAGACTGGGATTGAGATTCAGCTTGTGAATGCGCTCAATCTCAAACTTGCCCAGCTTCGACTCGGCCAGGTCGGGCACAAAATCGCACGGCGGCAGCTCCGGTGGCTGTTTGCTGCTGCTGCTGCTTGTGGCTAGCTTTCGCTGCAAGATCACCGCCGGAAGCCTCGAAACGGTCGTCCGTCGAAGGGGATGATGCATTGTGGGCAAATGATAATGATTCGAATAGTTTATTTGGAAAAAGCACTGTCACCCGGTGACACTTCACTGAGTGCGACACGGACTGATCCAGAAGAAAAACAGAGAGACCACTGCAGTAGTGCAGAGTAGTAGTGCTTGGGAGGCACTGCTGAGGAAGAATGCTGCAGTCTGTTTGTGTCTGAGCTGTTTCCCCTGTGCACACTTTGTCTCACTTGTCTGCTGAAAACAGAGCCACATCCACTGCTGCTGCCGCTGTCAGAAAGTGTCTGCCTCTCTCAGTTATTGCCGATAAAAATAGCAGACCCTCAGATGTGTTAGCTTTCAATGATCAGCACTAGCACCACTGTCACCGAGTCTTCCCCGCGTGTTTGCCTGTCTGCCTGCCTGCTTATCGCTCCCTCGTCATTGGCGGCCTTGAAGGCGGCTCGGTGATTTGTAGCTTCCAGGCTGGCACTACCAAGTGGACGCATCAGTCGATGCTATGGTAGAGTAATGATATGGTGATGGAAATTATATGAGTGAACACTGCTTGGCAGCTGACTGCGATTCGAATGTTGAAGTGTGTGTGTGATCCTCACTTTATCACTCGGCCAGCAAGTGGTCGAAATGACATGCAGAGGAAGAGTGGCTGCTGCATCTGTCAAATTGAGCTTTTGCTTTTGCCACAAACAGCAGTGCTGTGTGGTTCAACGATCACACAGCTTTAATACGGAGACAGGCACACACACACATATCTTGAAGTAGTATTTACACGCACTTGATAGCTCCAACAGAGCACCAAACGCTCCTTTTCACAGCGACACTGCCGACTCTTCGAGTGTGTTCGTCGCCACGTAGTACACGGCAAACTGTCCGCCACCTCGGGAGAAGCTGCCCATCGTCGCCAGTTGCAGTGCACCGTCGTAGAGGGCCACCTGGTTGAAGGTGTCGCCGCCTTTTCGGTGATTGCTTTCACCACCATCGGCCAGCAGGACACAGTCGGCGATGCGGGGAAAGAGCGACAGCGGTCCGGGGTAGTTGCGCGACTGGCCGGCCTGCAGGTGGGCACAGCTGACCAGGAGGCGGCCGTAGGAGGCGAGGTAGTCCTCGCAGTGGCGAGCAGAGAGCAGCTTCGCCTTCTCCTCCACCGGCGAGTGAATCACCGACCGCGTGGAGTGGGCGACCAGTGGGGCGCTGTACAGCGTCAGATTGCGACCTTGCAGCTGCAGGTGAAAGGGATTCGAAGCGAGGTAGAAGTGCGCCAGCCGAGTGGACGTCGTGGGAAAGTGCTCGGCGGTGAAGGGGTGGCTGCAAAAGAAGGGCAATTAGAACACGTTTGGATTACTCTCAAAAATCCTACCTGACGGGCGCTTCAGACTCTCGATGATGACTAGTTTGATCAGCCTCCTCGCACAGCAGATCATTCGGTCCTGGAACAAAGACAAAACGAGACTGGTTTGCCAGACGACGAAAGGAGCCACACAAACGGACGAGGTTTTTCATGTGATCTGTAATTAGAAAGCGGAATTGTATTAGGAGATGTTTGTGNCCAGACGACGAAAGGAGCCACACAGACGGACGAGGTTTTTCATGTGATCTAAAGTTGGAAAGCGGTATTGTATTAGGAGATGTTTGTACTACTAACTGAACAGCAAAACGTACCTTTCAAAGTAAAACTATCCACCCGGCTCTCGGTGAAGTCGCCCATCAGCACAAAGACCTCGGGCACCTGGTCGAGTTTGCAGTAGCCGGCAAAGAGGTACTTCAGCGCCTCAATCGTCCGCGCATTGTCCAGGTGAATGTCCGCAATCACCACCACCATCGACTCACCTCTGCTGCTGTTGCTCGACTGCTGTTCCTCCTCTGAGGCCGACTCTGGCAACATCGAGGCGATGGGCGGCGGCAGGCCGATCGATTTGACGAGCACCGCATCTCTGACCGCATCGTAGACGCCCTCCACCAGGTAGATGCCATTCTCGAAGGTGGCCCACTCGCGGTAGGTGGTCGCCTCGCGGCTGAAGGCCACCGGCACCTTCCCGGTGGGGTCCTCTAGCAGGTACTCCGAGATACGAGAGGGGTCCTTGCGCAGCAGCGCGTAGACGATGCACGGCAACTCCACCGAGCTGTCGTAGGTGTTCAGTTCGTCGATGGCCGTCAGTCGGAACTGGCCGCTCTCGATGGCAGGCAGACGCTTCAGCGCCGCCAGCAGTTGGTTGTAGTGGCCGGCAAAGGCCTTCGCCGTCGTCCTCGTGCCAGCCGCCGACTCGACCACGTTCTTGATCACAATCCACTCGGCGCTGTCGGCCAGCTGGCTGGAGGAGACGGCCAGGCGGCGGTGTTCGCGCAACGCCTCCACCGCCTGCGTCGCCAGCTCCGGTCCGATGACCATCGACTCGGTGGAGATCTTGGTGAGGAGAATGTCCGTCAGCTGGCCGATAAAGTCGTCCACCGACTGATAGGGCGGCACGCCGTGGCCTAGCTCCGCTTCGAAAAGCGTCAGTGCGTTGGAGCGGATCTGAAGGCCGCTTAGGGCCAGGCGGCGGGACAGCTCAGAGCGGTTGGTGTTGATCACCTTGGTGGTGGTGGTGGTGCCCGTGGTGGCCATATTTGGCAGGAAAGGATAATGAAGATGACCAGAAAGAAGATCGGAAGAGTTTGCAAGCAAAAACAAAAACAGACGATGTTTTTGCCGCCAAATCAAAACAACAAATGAAGCAGTCGTAGATGACGAGCAAATTTTTTGCGGCAAACTGAATTTTGAAATTGTTTTAAAACATAAAAACTGTTTAATTTGTAATTATTAAATTGTATAATCTTTCTTTTTGCACTCGTCACACTTGTCTACGTTAAGATGAACAAGGGCTTTGAACTCCATGACACAGATGATGCACTTCTTCAACTCAGTATCGTTAGGCTCTTTACAAGTTTCTGACAGTTCTGTGTTGCAAAATTTTTTTCCTGCAAGTATTTTCTTATTGCGAAATCTTAACTTGCGAGGCTTTTGCGGCAACTTTTTCCCAGTCTCTTCAGTAGAGTCTTGACGACAGTCATCACACTTGTCCTCTCCAAGATAGACACGAGCTTTGAATTCCTGGTCACAACCGCTGCACTTCTTCATCTTAATGTCGTACTCGNTAAATTGTATAATCTTTCTTTTTGCACTCGTCACACTTGTCTACGTTAAGATGAACAAGGGCTTTGAACTCCATGACACAGATGATGCACTTCTTCAACTCAGTATCGTTAGGCTCTTTACAAGTTTCTGACAGTTCTGTGTTGCAAAATTTTTTTCCTGCAAGTATTTTCTTATTGCGAAATCTTAACTTGCGAGGCTTTTGCGGCAACTTTTTCCCAGTCTCTTCAGTAGAGTCTTGACGACAGTCATCACACTTGTCCTCTCCAAGATAGACACGAGCTTTGAATTCCTGGTCACAACCGCTGCACTTCTTCATCTTAATGTCGTACTCGTATTTGTCTCCCACCTTATCGACAATAGCACTGCCCAGTTCGGCAGCACCAAAGCCACCGCCCACAGCACCGCATATGCCTCCGACAATTGTGCCTATGCCGGGGAAAATTGCAGTTCCCAGTGCGGCACCGCCCATCGCTCCGCCATAACCTCCCGCCCAGCTACCGGCTATGTTTGCCACAGTGTTCACAGTGTTTCGTGTGGTGCCCTTGCTGTAATCATTCTTAGCTGAGTACCCGGTTCGCACTAAATCAATGGTAACTGCCACCGGAACTGCCCACTTGTTCACAAAATCGAGTACTTTAGAGCCATACTGGGCGATGCTCGTTCCAGCCTGTTATCAAATAGTTTAGACAGAGACAAAATGGAACACTAGTATTTAACTACTGACCTCCAGACCACCGGGAGGAAGCGCCAGATGCGGATCGACAAATTTGGCATCGCCAGCAGCCTTGCCAACGTTTATCATGTCAGGGTTGATGTTGATGTGGTTGTACGGATGACCAGGATGGGCTCGATCTAAACGAAACACATAACTGCCCTTGGGTGTGGCAACTTTGGCATTATTTACTGCTTTCTCTGCTCTACTTAGCCACTTTGTTCCTTTACTAATATTCTTGACATTGTTGGCCGCTCTAGCTTTTGCCAGAAAACTGCTAGCTTTTGATAAATTCTTTTGTGCCCTCATCACCTGAGTGGCACTAGAAGTCATGTCCATAAGTCCGACCGCTGTAGTTAGATCATTGAATACGAGTTTGTAGTTTTTCCCAGCTACCTGGTGCCAGGCTCGGCTGGCTTTGAAAAAAGCACTCGCCTTACTGCCCGACCCTTTCTTGGGCTTCCTTTTTCGTTTGTTGGGCATTCTTGGTTAGCACTTGTAGTCAATTAAATGGAACAGATGTTGAGGTCTAAAAAACTGTAAAAAATTATAAGGTTTGGTGTAAACAGCATCCAGGTACAACTTTGACAAAATAAATTGGGAAAATGACGTTTTAGTTGCGTTAGGTGAGGTGGCTACAAAGTTTTAAAGATAGGGTGACAGATTGATAGGATCAGAGGGGAGGATTTTGAGGTATGCTGCTGAGCAACGACCTGTAGATAGTAAATAATTGTGGAACAGATATTGAGAAGCCTGCACTGTCACACTGTGTCCTAATCAGTAGTTTTTTCCAGTACTTAGAAGGAATGCATGCTCATTTTGCAAACACACGCTCACAAACAGCTAAGCGCCAATTGTTTCCCTATTGACTTCAATATTGTACTTTGAATCTCCCATTCAGACTGTAAATCGTTCCAGTTGAACCAATGTACTCGTGCGTGTTTTTTATAGTTTTAAAATTGGAGTGTAAAATACAGTATATTCTTTTCAGTTAGTTTCAGAGCTAGTTGTAGTGTGACACACAGTGTGAATGGAGAGAAAAGAGAGAAAGGAGGTGAAGGGAAGGGAAGGAACACAATCACAGGTCCGGCTGGGTGGAGTTTGCATCGCTGGAGGTAGGGGGCGGCAAGGGAGAGGCGACAGGCTTCGGACTGCCAACTACTGCCAGTTCGCCATCGGCCTGACCATTCGATGAAGAATCGGGCTCTGAGTTGTGGCCTGGATGAGCAGGTGAAGGACAGGTGGCGGATAGCTGCTGATGGGGCGCCGGTGAAGAGGCGGCGGCAGCGGGGACAGAAGCAGGAGACAGTGGAGACGATGATGAGCAGCCATTCTGGTGAGCAGCTGGCGACTGAGAGCCGGCGTCAGCGGCAGCCAAGACGGCGCCCGGTGAGAGAGATTCAAAACCTTGCCCGGCTTTGACGCCGGCTTTTGATCGAACGTAGAGAACATCGTAGTGGCCGGGTCGGTAGAGCATGTGAATGCGCGGCTCTGCTGGCGGCCCTTCAGCATGGAGTGGGTTAAAATCGTGCTCGTTGACCTTGCCACCAGCACCGCGGTCCTGTTCGAGGAAGAAAGGGACGAAGAATTAGCAAAGTGTTATCATTGGAAAGATGTCAAGCGCTGGCATACCATGTACACGACGCGAACCGTCACATTGAACACTGAGCTCAGCGCGATGATGTGAATGTGATCACTCTCCTTGTACATTGGTTCCACTTCGCGTTTGCAAAAGTCCCCAATGCTGCCGCTTCCCTCGATGAAGTTGGTGAAGAAGTCTGACTCTTTCTGCAGGTAGTACGAGGTCATAAGACGCAAGTAGACGACAATGTTGTCGTACACGGCCGGTTGATCGAGTTCATTCAGCAGCTCAGTGGCTGTAGTGATTCGCTTTTCAAGAATCCCTGTGGTGATGTCTCTAAACTGGGGGCGCAAAATAATCCCATATTAAATCTCAAGTAGAACTTCAAATACACACACTCACATATTCATAAAACTCGTCAATAGTAAAATCAGGAAAACCTAGCACTTCTTCGATTCCACGACGGGTCTCTTTACAGATTTCTGAAAACCGTTTCTGTTCATCCTCGTCATTGAACAACGATTCGAAGTAGCTGAAGATGAAAGCTCGGTAAAAGCAGTTGCCATCAGGGCGAGTTTTCCGAATGAAGCTGTAGTTGGTCTTAAGATCCTGACGGAAGTAAAATGAAAAGTTAAATTTGAAATAAAACAGTGGCGTGTAGGGGAAAGATTACCTCAACTTTCTGCTGGTAGATATCATCCTCCTCGGCGTAGTCGTCGTGAAGAGCATCAACGATAATGGTCTCAGAGACGAGAGGGTAGTTGGCAATAATATCATGCTCAATCTTGGCCGTGCCGTCCAGAATCATCTGGTGATTGTAGAGGGGCTCAGTGTTTTCAATATCTAGAAAGTAGAATTATGTTAGCCTTTAAAACAAAACAAAACACTGAAAACACATACCATCAAAGTTCAAAGCGGCCGCTTCGCTGTCCTGCGGCAGATTGGGACTGCAGTTGCCGGCACCGTCAGCTTGAGCGTCAAAGGTGGGCGAGTTCGGTGGCTGGTTTTCCATCAGAAAGAGGCGATTCAAGGGGCTCCAGAAGAGGCTGGCCAGTTGCGTCAGGTAGTGCAGCAGCAGCTGAAAGGCGGTCGACATCAGCTGGGGGCCAGAAGTCGACTACGACGTCGAAGGTGAGCGGGTGTTGGGATGGGTGTGTGTCCTGAAATTGGTAGTCTTCGTCCAATGAGTCGTATCCTCGTTGTCGCTAAAATCTCAATCAAAGTGAATGAACTCCCAAAGTGTTAGAAGAAGACGATGAAGAGACTGCGTTCGCCGACGAGCCGACGACAGACGTAGGCGAAGAATGGGCAGCAGAAAAACAAAAGCCATAGACGATTCGTAGAAGACGTACTGGCAGCAGCTGGTGGTCCGGTGATGGCGCGCTGATAAGGAATACCTAGGTTTGTTTAGCGGTTAATGGGTTGATTTTTTGGGTTTCAAAAGAAGGGTTTTTCTTAACAGACAAATCTAGTACGCCCTTCGCTCCTTTTTCCCAACTGGGGGCATACTTTCTGAAATGTTGGCTTCACTGCACGTGTATTTCTATGGAATACTGATAGACATCTTTCGTTCAGCAAAATTCGGCAGGTACTTGCACAATTTCGACGAAGTAAAGAGTTAGAGTCGTTTAGAGCGTTTTTATTTCATTATTTTGGTTGGTTGTTGAGAAAATATTTGTGACATGTGTTATCTTGTGTGATATATTGGCGCAGTAAAGCCAGCTATTCAACGAAACTGGTTTTTCCTTAAATGTGTCTACCCGGCAGTACTCTACAAGAAGTGCGAATTTAGCTCAGTTGGGAGAGCGTTAGACTGAAGATCTAAAGGCCCAGTGTTCGATTCACTGAATTCGCAATTCACTTTTTGCTTTTTTAATTTTAAAACGAAACCCGAAATCGATTTGAAATATTTTTTCACTTTTTAAAGCAAAAATTCAAAGTTTTTTAACCTAAACACTTTGACTTGGTGCGATTTTAAAACTAAAAATGTTAACGAACTCACTCAAAAATGGGCGTTTTTATTGCCCTGAACCTAGTCTAAAGGTCTTGCAATAAAAAATTAATTTTTGCATTTTAAAAATTTATCACTCAAAAACACTTTAGCAGCAAACCGTACCTAGCAGCTGATTAAGCCTCTAAGCGGACAACACATACGCCGCTACATGCAATTTACCCTCGCTATGGCCACTTTAGCTCGGTTACTCGGCTAATTTCACTAATGGGCAGACGTGGTGAGAGACAGAACTAAAACACCGTTTTCAATGTACCGTGTACGTGGAATGGGGGAGAATAT